TACGCATAGTCTATAGTAGGTTGGGAGCAGTCATTAGTAGAGGTAAAATGTATAAAGAGAGCAAACAATTTTCATTCCCTGATAGAGTAAACACTCATTCTCTTTCATTCTCTGTTGGAAATATCCTCGCTACCTACTCCGGTACGGGTGCAAGTGAAGTGAAAGTGAAATGGAAGTAAGGCATGTCTGATGACGTAACTAGTTGAGCCTGTTTGGTGTGATGTTTGAGCCGCATAAGCCGCGGTTGCCTTTTTTGCAGGGGTTTTTGGTGCGAACCATTTTGCGAACCACCAAAGGGCATGATGCTAGTCACTCTGACTACCCCACCTGCAGCCACCTGGAAACCTGGAAACTCACCAGGCCGCAAACTGAAAGGTGTTTTTCTGAACCCGAGCTGCCACCAAAGGCATGCCACTCGCATCTCAGAGCTGCTGGTATAAACCCCTAGAAGAGCCTCTCGGGCTCTCTGACTTTATCCTCATCTCCATGGAATATGTTCTGTTTGCAGCAGCACCAAAAAAAGACAGGGTCAATTCTCTAAATTTCTCCATCTCCGGAAGCCGGTAACGCAAAATTCTGGCATCGTGGTCACCCCATCAAGCATCTGATTTATCACCTTTACCCCTGTCTTTGAGACCAAGATCTAGGGTGAGTTAGGACCATATCCAAAGGCCCCTTCCAAAAGTCCTGCAACAGGAATTTGAGCCTTTCCAAAAGCGCAACCTTTTCTCCGGAGAAACTTTACACCGGACAGCTTTTTGTGTGACACCAGCCACTAACACTTGGGACCTTTTGTTCGTACTCTTTCAGGACTTTGACTACAATGGCTCATCCGATCACCGGAGATAGACGACTACCGCATTTGACATCCAGCCCACCTTGCGGCGGCGGATCGGCCCAGACGGCCATTGCCGCTGATTCGCGGGTCCGAAAACAGTATCCTCCGTCCAGGTATTACTCTCCCATTCCATTCAGACAAACCTGTTCTGAATCTTCTTCGGCTCTAGGACCCGGAGTCATCAGCAACATGATTCGCCGTCGCCCCGAATCAAGAAAGAGCCTAGCGAGTCTTTGCAACTGTTAAGCCTTGCAGACTCTGTCAGACCTTCGCATGGTACAAATGATACAAGACCAGCCAAACGCCCCGCGATTGAACAAGAGTGGCATCCAAGCAAAATCGGACCTGGCTCAGCGTCTCCAGCTTACTCTCCTGGCCGTCATGACCACGACTATGCACATATCCATTCCCCGCCTCCGGACTCGTCCTCGGCAGGCGGATACCAATCTGCCCATCAGACGCCCGTCTCCTCTCCTCGCGGAGTCTCTCATTTTGCTACCTTGGCGCGTCAGAACAATCGTGCTCGAGGTTACCATCCAGAGCCGGAAGGGAAATACTTTGATCCTCGACCTACCTCGGGTCACTCGTCCCAGGGTGACTACTCGGCCGATGGAGACATCAAACCACTTCTCCAGCCAGAGACAAGACCCATATCCCAGGAACAACTCGTCAATGAAGTCAAAGGTATATATGCTGGTCTGGTCATGGTGGAGAAGAAGTGTGTAGAGATATGTGCCCAGCAAGCGCAAACGACCAATAAACTCTCCAACGAGCAGTGGCAGGCATTAATCGCTTTGCATCGGACTCTCCTTCACGAGCACCATGACTTTTTCCTGGCATCACAACACCCAACAGCATCACCAGCGTTACAGCGGCTCCCCACAAAATATGCAATGCCTGCGCGCATGTGGAGACATGGGATTCATTCGTTCCTCGAGCTGCTCCGCCATCGTCTCCCGCATTCTTTGGAGCACATGTTGAGCTTTGTCTACCTCGCCTATCAGATGATGGGCCTTCTTATGGAGTCGGTACCCGCTTTCCATGAGACCTGGATTGAATGCTTGGGCGACCTGGCCCGTTATCGTATGGCCATTGAAGAGGCAGACTTACGAGATCGTGAGACATGGTCCAACGTCGCTCGCATGTGGTACCAGAAGGCGGCCGACCGCTCCCCCGATACTGGAAGGATTCAGCACCACCTGGCGGTTCTCGCGAGACCTAACATTGTTTGCCAGCTGTTTTACTATTCCAAGGCTCTGATCTCTGTCAACCCGTTTCCCAACGCGCGAGACTCCATTATGCTGTTGTTTAATCCACTCTTGGACGTAGCCACTCCTCCCGGCCAAAAGGCTAGGCCGGATGCGCCCCCTTCCAAACATTCCAAGCTCGAGACTTCTCTGGTTACCGCCGCCGGTCTTCTGTTCACCAAGGGTGTCATCGACCAATATTGCTTTCAAGCTGAACGATTTACATTGGAATTGGAGAACCACATAGCACGATCAGGTGTGAATTGGAAGGTTCAGGGACCCGAGGTAGCTTCTGCCCTCATTGCGTTACTTTTTGACTTTGGTTCCGACAATAATTACCTCTGGCAAATCTTCCGTGCCAATCATGATAAACTCAAAGGCTCTCAGCCTGAGGCACAGCAGCAGCAGCAGCAGCCGCCGCAACAACAACAGCAAGAAGGCAGTACTACAATAACTCCGGATCCCATGGCCAAGGAACGTATCCATGGCGAATTCTGGGGACACAATAGCCCGATCAATGCAAACGCTTTCCGTCAGGCCACTCTCCCACCCGAACATCGTGTTAACATCAAATTTGAGTCGGCAGACGAAGTAACTTCATACGCTCTTCCCGTCTGGTCCAAGACTATATCCATAGTAGCTGGCAAGCTGGGGGACCGCAACATCTTACCATTTCTACATCTTACGTTGGCATTCCTTTGGTCACTATCATATGTTCCAGGCGCATTGATCTACGTCGAAAAGTATGTTCCGTGGAATGTGCTAGCCGTCTCTTTGAACAGCTTGAGCAGATCTGGAGTGGTTGATGCACATGTCGAATCCAAGGAGTTCCCTCAACAACAATCAGGTACGGGAAGACAGCTGCCCGAGGACTTTCCCATGCGCGGCTTAGTCTGGGCGCCGTATTATTTCCCGTCCGATTTTTTCGAAGGCCAGGTGGTCGACGAGGATGAACGGTCGTTGGAACTCCCAAGCCACGCCGCACCCCGGGCTGAAAGATGTCTCTGGCTGGGAGTCAGACTTGCATCGGTAAGTCTGCGATTTCTGAGTTGCGCCCTTCTGCCGCTGACTCTCTCTAGTTGAACCGCTACTTTACATATGACGCCTCAACAAAAAAGTATGGCTGCACCAACTTTGCTTTGTCGCTCTCGGGCAGTGCGTCAATGCATACGTTGCGCGTTCAAACACCCCCCGGCGCTGAACGTGATCTGCAAATGGCCGACGTCTAAACTGTAAGAGATCAGGAAGCCGCTCGCCACGGATCTTGCCGGTGATAGGACCCTTCCAACATGTTCCGGCCTTTTGCTAGGATCTGCGCTGCGATTTCGGTTCCGGACGATCCTTCTAGACACGGTTAATTTGCCTCCCCCGCGAAACGATACTTTGAAAGAGATCAACAACACCTGGACCTGCCTAGCGAGGGCCACGATTGACATGGGAGTCAGATCAACGATAGTGAGGATGTATAAGATTAGACGGGTGCATAAGCTTGCGGTTTGCTAGGTGGATGGTTGATCTGGGTGAAGCTGGCACGGAAGCCAAGCATGGTCCAGCGAGAACCATGCTTGGGAAGAAGGCCGCCGTGGAACAGAAGTGGAAGAGAAACTTGCTGGCGGCGGGTTTGTTGACGGTCAAAGTCGTCTACATACTTTGGCTTGTGATGTTTGGTTGGGCTTCGGGCTGCAATGGCAGGCCTAAGAAGTGGCTCAAGAAATCTGAAAACGCAAAGGTGAACCAAGGACAACAACGCATATTTTGAGAGAAGAGGAACAAAACAAAAAGCTGACGGTGGATTTGCTGGAAGGAGAGACAACAAGAGAGAAACGGGATTTCTCCATCATGAGACACGACTTTCGTATCGTTTTTGAGACAAAGAATATTTTACACGTCTTGACATGGTATCTGAAATTGACAGACGAGGTTGTTTGTGTCGTTCCCTTTGCCGCAGACTGCGTGCTAAGACTCTCCATCATTGGAACCTGTAAAATGGGAGCTGACCACTCTCCGGCGCTGGAAGCACCAAGGACTCTGCTGTTTGGACTCTCCAGAGGCTCGGCGTCAGTAAGCATGCCAAAGGACGTGAGCCAAAGACCAAAGACGATAGATCAAGCCCAAAGCCAAGACCAACCGAGACCAAAGTTGAGCGAAGGGGATGGACATCTGCATGTATGTATGTCTGTCGAAGTGCATGTTCGGGTGGCCCCCTCATTGGGGCGGGGGGGCATTGGCCATTGGCGCCTGGGCTCGGATTCGGAACTCACGAGCGGGAACGGATGGGCGACGTGCCAGGCCAGGTCCCGCGGAGGTGGCGTGGTGTGATTGATAGGAGCAGAGGATTCATTGTTCAATTTTCGATTTTCATCTGGATCAAAAAATTTTTTTTTTAATTCACCGGGGCCTTATCGAGAGGACCGACTGACTTTGTAGAGGTGGCGGACAGGCATGTATACATCGTACTGGCACTGAAAAGGTTAGAAAATCTTGGTAAAGGGCAGGCCGAGACTGAAACCAGAAGTAGAACTAGGAGGAGGAGGAGGAGGAGGAGGAGGAGGAGGAGGAGGAGGAGGAGATGGTCATGGTCATGTCAAGAAGGTACCTTGTAAATTGTTCATCAGATCAATGTACTTGCTATGTCGTGGCGGGACCGTTACATTTCCCACAAACTCCCCCAGTCTCATCAATCGCCCGCATAACATAACAGACAGGGGATATCGTTATCAACCACAGTGCCCTGATAGATTGCCCGATACAGGTGGGCGAGATATTCCAATCATTTTGGCCCATGGCCTTCAGGTTTCATCACACCGAGACGAAAGTTACCTCAAGCCAACCTCGGAGACCTAGAGAGGTCTCGTCCATACAACCTTGAGCTCCTCATCATATCTGACATTTAATATGCCTCTTGTGCAACAGATTTAGGTCTTAGTTTGTGACGTCTCACGCGTCGCCTGAAGCTTTGTACCTTTGGTGGAGGTAATCGTTCTGATGACGGCGTCGGGAGTCACCGTAGCTGTCAGCGTGGCCATGAACTTGTCGAGCTCCAGTTCCACGCTGCTGTTGCTGGCAGATTGTTCTTTTCCGGTTACCCCGTCTTTGACGATCGCGGCGTCGTCATTGTCATGGAGCCGCTGGGGTGATTGCCCGGTCGGGTCTGAATTTCCGCAGGAAGAGCTGGGACGTCCCTCGTGGGATGACATCCTCGTCTCTATGCTCGTGTCGACTGCTTCCCTGCTCCGCAGATAGACGGACAGCATCGAATCCTCGGGAACGGTCACCAAGGTGAATGCCGTAAGGGGAATCTGTCGGCGCCTTCACACCATACCCCGATGGGGTTGTCAGTTCTGGCTATACTCCTCAAAGATGGATCGAGGACCATCTGGGCCACGTACTCTTCTCTCTTCGCCCGCATCATGACCGATCTATCAGCACCCAGAGCTGGTCTCGCAATACGACACTTAGTGTCGGGCGTCATGTGGGGTTTGGAAGCCATGGATATCAAAATGCCAGCAATACATTCACACCCGGTTTCTCCAAACTGATGCCAACGAGATGGTCCGGGAAGAGAGCGACAAACTGTAGATAAAGCGCGAGAACGATACAAATATAATGAAAAGGAGGAAGAGGAAGGAGTGAAACGAGAGAGGCATGGAGGGGGGGAAAGGCATGATGATCCCTGAACAGAATCGACCAGGCAATCACTTACGTCCGACTAGGGCGAATGAGAGCGTGACAACTATAACTAACATCCTGTAAAGCCAGTCAAGTGCCGAGGCGTTGCACTAGCTGGACCGACCCGCATCTTTGCAGCATTCTGATTCGAGACATGTGATTTCAGGCTAGCCGTTCTGAGGCTCCCGCGCATTTTTGAGAGGTTCTCATGCACCTGTCCACCTGCATGCTGGTGCGTTGCTACATGAGACCTGGGCGCTGAAAATATACCTTGAGAATGTGATTGCGTCCATCTGATGGTGCAGGAGGGGATGCTGAGCCAGGGTGCCGAGGTCACCTCTGAAGACTGTCTGTTGGCGGTGCGTCGATGTACCAGACCCCCACCGCTTGTCACATGACCAAGTTATCATGCACTCGATCGGAGAGCATGCGCCCTGCACTGTCGACGAAGGCGGTCAAGGGAAATTGTCCCTTTTCTGCGTGCCGATCCGTGACGGCTGTTCGCTGTCTCGCTATACTAGCTGAGCAAATAATAGCTGCCAAACTTACCGGATTGCCTCTGGACGAGTGTGATGGTATCTGAATCAGATGGTTGCCTTAAGAGGTCGGGGTTCCCATGTCGGATAAAGGTTCGTAGCAATGGATCGTAAACACCGTTATATATCAAGAACAGCAAGCCAGGATCCGGACGACTCTCAGATATGGGGTGGTTGATAGAGTTGAAATCGAGCAGCAGTCGGATGATAGCGGCCCAGTCGTTGCCAAGACCAATGAGAGGCGTGTTCTCGGAGTAACTTCGTCATAATCGAAAGAGGACGCTCTGTACAAGGACTCTGATGATATTGCGATCCGAGTGTCATCGAGTTGGAGATGCTTCAAATGCGCATCAAGTTGGCATTTTGCGTCTATATCGACGCATCCCTACCTGCTCAATCTCGCTCTGAGGTCCGTGGTGGTGTCGCAGGTGTCGGGAGTATCATTCTAAGGGCCGGAAGTGATCGTGATCTATCCCCAACACTAGAGTCAACAAGCTCAGAGGGTTCTCAAGCCAGCAGCCGTTGCGAATTACAACAAGATGAGACCGCCCGTTGTGCAACTCTCAATATAAACCTGCAGTCAGTGTCCTGGACGGCCGAAGGAGATTTACATACCTGACAAGTACATGGCATGAGATGAAGTTGAGCCGTCGTTGCGAGATACATACATAAGTCTCGGTGCTGGACGCCACATACTTGTTCGTCCTAGGCTGAGGGCTAGTGTTGAGAATTTCCAGTTTTATACTAGCGTGGGCGCCGCAAAGGCTTGCGATTAGTTTCTGGCGCAATCATAGGTCCATTTTGCTGAGTAAGTGTGGCTAATGTATGGCTATCGCACAGTGGTAGGATTGGCACCATGGTTGGCTCTCAACAGTTCAGCACGTGGCTAGTCAGGCTCGATCCGTGCCTTCTCTTCTCGCCAAAGTACTTTTGCTCTCTTGGCACCTTCCTCGCTTAGCGATACGGCGAGGCGGGAAAAACTATTTTTCCGCCTCCCCATCCATATTCAGCTGCCCCAAGCGAAGGGCTAATACCAACATATCTCGCAGGTCGTTCAGCTCGCCACCCTCTTGACTTCTCCCCTCCTTTTCCCCATCTCTGGAAGCCTCTACTCTGTCAACAAGAGTTGATCTTGTTCCCCGTACGCAGAGCCCACTGGAAAACACTACGAGCGGCAATACAAAGCATTCTCTAGCATGTTTCGTCGGCTGCATTGTATTCGAGCCACAGCCGCATTATGGCATGGCCGCTCAGCCTCACGACCCAAACTAGTCACACTGTCGCACTTGCCGGTCAGCTAGGTTCAGTGCTTTTTCCAGCTCTATGAACGTCAATACGGCACCGCATAGCATCAGCATGCCAATCACAAACACTCCCTTTGGTAATAGTCCATTTTACCTTTGCGATTGGTAGTGGCGAATACTCAGCCTTGGTCCCTGATCGCCGCTTCCGCCAAAACAGTTCAACCCCAACGGTCCGAACATGGTATGATTGACGAGTCAATCTTCCACTGGCACAAAAGAGGACTCCCAATAACATGGCACCAATGGTGGGACAAGAGCTGTTACAAGGTTCTCACATCTTCTTGAAGGACGCCACCTTCGCCACCGCGAGGATATTTCGGTGTCAGTCCTCAAACAGGACTAAGAGAGGGTCGTGCCTTCGCGGTGGACGATTCCTCGATTTGTCACATCTTGTTACCCGGCGCTCGAGGTTCTGGTCTCGTTGCTCTGGTCGACACGTGACGGCAACAGGTTTCGTCCGAGCATAGCCCCGATGGCAAAATCTCATCCCCAGCATCGTGAGGGATTAAGCTGGGCTTCCCGTGGGAGGACACCTGTCGTCAAAGTGCTCACCCCCATGATTGTTGGGTTCCTGGCTTGCATGTGGGCTGTCGTTTGAGGCAAATGGCGGAATCTTCAGGATGCCTTGTTGTCCAACCGACTCTTTGGGTCTTTTTGTGACGGCGTTCTGCGGGCCAAGGCGGTCCTTACACATCAAGAGCAACCCTGCGATGTCGTTTCGGGAGCCACATAAGCGTCACGAGTTCCGGCGCTGCCTTGATTGAGCGGTGACCGAAAGCTTGGGTTGGTGACAAGTGCGAGCTCCTCTGGCCGCTCCCACTCTGCACTTCCCTATCAAGGAGTATTAAAGGTCTCAGCCTTCATTCATTGTTCTGTACGCATCATGCTCCATCAAAAGGCAACCACTATCGACGGGTTGCAGCACCATTGACTGGAGTGCCACAAATATCGGCTTCAAAAGGTCGCATCTGGACCATCCGCACTTTGACCCAAAGTCGCTCTAAAGTCCGGTGGAAAGACGATGCGGGTGGCTGCCTTGCTGGCTTCCCGCAATCTGATTTGATCGCACTTAGTCGCCGCTGCACTGCCGTCAAGTATCAAGAAACTCGTGCGTTTGACCAAGGATGCCTCTTCACTGGATCTACGAGTACCCCGTAACCTCCACCATTCCATGTCAAAACACCCTAGTTGATGATCAAGTGACTAGATGCGAAGCATCAAAAGGTTCGACTTACATCAATTTTGCGCCCTGTTGCCTGGGTTTCCCTCTCATTGCCTCGGGCACGTTGGCGGTGTGTCGAAGGTACCCATGCCTTCTGGTGGGCCAGTTCGAAGTACCGACGGCCCGGCATCCAGCCAAGTCAGCCTAAGCGACCGGGTTAGGATTGCCCCGGACGAAAACCAAACCAGCAACAACAGGGGCCCGGTCACCGGCATATCCCATTGAAATTGGCCCTCAGGGGCTGCGAGGAGGAAGCTTACTCTGCGCATGGGGCACTCCTCTCATCACTTAGTGCAAGGCAACAACAGCTTGGTTCAGGATACGAGCAGACTTCTTTCGGTGTTTGCTCCACGCAATCAATTTCTCACACTAGTTGAAACTGCGGAGCAAGTTCTAAGTTCCTGGTACCGAGTCCTCGTCGTGCTACTTCATCCCCGAGGCTGCTTTTTTCTGCGCCACCATGGTGAGCTGTCGATGATACCCGTATTCGTGGCGTTGTGCAAAAGACTTGCCTCTCCAATGCTGGCGTCAAAACGATGCGGAACCTTTGATGGCTGGCTGCATATCAAAGGGGGTTTTGGGCGCGACGTGCCTCACTCTCTGCCCATCCTTGACGGCTGCCTTTCGACGTAACCACGTTGTTTCACGATCCCCAAAGGTCCTGAGGGCCTTTGGAATTCACCCCTGGGTCCTTGCGCTCAGCAAGCAATGCGTCACTGAGAGAAAGGCAAACAGAAACAGGCCAAAGAGATGGGTCAAGAAGCGAAGCCGGGCTTTGGGCAAGGAGGCTGTTCACCGGTTTTGCTCGTGCAATCCATTGCAGGCGTTTAAACGCCCCGCATCTACGAACAACATCGGGCTGAACTTGCGCAGCCTGGCCTGACCCCATTTCACGGCCGATCGAGGTCTCGCTGCTTCATACCGCGATGCCATCCTCTTCTGGATCTCGCACTCACAGAGAGTGCCGCTGGGTTTAAAGCCCAGGAGGAGAAACAACGAAGATACTGAGCACCGAGCACTGAGCACATCCCGTCGTGCACCCCTTGTGTGTTTCCCACACGAGTACACTCGACCCACGGGTAGTCTACCGAGTTCCACGCATTGAGTCCTCACTACGAGTATATCATGGCCCTTGATGAGATGACTGGTATACGGAGGTGTTGAGTATACTGCGTCTCTAGCTAGCTATCTAGTTAGCGAGCCAGCAATCGTTCGTCCTACCGAGTACATACCATACACTTCCCCAGCCTGCTATTGCATCGACCGCTCATGAAGTTGTTTCGTTCTCCTGCCCGTCCCTCTCCAGTGCCAGATTATCTCAATCTCAATCCCCTCCATCTCTCCTCCACCCTCATGTCGGTCGAAACCACGTTCCGATGTAAACTTCATTTCCCAGCTGAGGCCGTCCCTGTCCTCCTCCTCCTCCTACATTGTGCCGCGTTACGTTACGTTGTCGGCAGACAAAGTCTCGCGAAACATAGCTACCCAACTTCCCTTCCCTCAGCGACTGGGGACTAAGAACTGGGGACTGGTGACTGATAGAACCCATTCTGCCCCATAGCCCATGGCATACTCGCACCGCGACTGTGCCCGTACCTGTGAGCGTGAGCGTGACTGTGACTGTGTTTGGGCGCCGGCAGGCTTTGGGATTCGGATAATCCAAAGGTCGGTCACCGTGGAGCTGGTGGCTGGGCGATATTTACTTTGCCGGCCTCAACCTGGGGAGTGCTTGGACATGTATCTTGCAAACAGGTTTAGA